TTTTAATTTCTTTTAAATAAAATTTTAAATTTATATAAAAAAATTATTTTCTAACCAAGTGATATTTAAACTTTGACCAAACACTCCTTTTTTTTCCCAGTTTATTTATTTATTTTTTTTGTTTATAATCAAAATGTTTTTGGCTAACTTTTACATATTTTTAATCTCTTTCAAAATATTTTTAAAAACGAAATTTCATATCAATTTAATACCCTTAAAAAAAAAAACAATTTCAACTTACAAACTTATATTTATTTATCAATATATTCAATTCCTAGACTTCCAAGTTTAGTTCTTCTTCTTCTTCTTCTTCTTCTTCTTCTTTTTGTTAGGAAACCTTGAACTTGTCTGTGCTTCGGCTTGAAGGCTCTCAACTTATTTTGTCCGATTCTAATTATGAGAGTAGTTATTAATCTCAAATCAAATCAGGACTCACTTCTAACCACGTGTAACCTTTTGATTAAATCAAGGTCACAGACTACCATAGCCACAACAGCAGCAGATCATCGCTTACCATAATGAAAATCTAATTTCACGAGCATCCCTACCCTCTACAGAACTAGACGACAGAAACATTCAGGTACGTCATTCTTCACAATTTCAATCTAGCTCTCTTCTTCTTCCCCAAATCTTTCCCTCAATAAAATTCTATAAATCTCTGAATTTTGACTGAAACATGAATTGGAATTGAGTTCGGTTTTCTTTCTTCAGTACAGAGAATTGAAATTGAAACTATTCGGTATCTGGATTTTTTTTTTTTAATTTTCTTTTCGTGAATTTGAATGTGATTTTTCGATGACTGGTTGGTTTTATCGATTTTGTAGGGTCTGATTTGGTCTGATTTTTGTGCGTTTCGAAGTTGTTTTCGGCGTCAATGGATCATGCTGAACTAACCACTGAGCAGGTTCGTGATCTGATCACTTGATTTGCTTCTTTTTTCTTTTTTTTTTTTTATGATTGATTACTCGCAGGAAAGAGTGTAATACCTAATTGAATTGCATGTTAAAATGAGAGATTTTTCCTGAAGTTTGATACTTACTGTGTCAATGTGTTTGTAAAATATGAATGGGAATCTGAATGTGATATAAGTATGCAAAGGTAAGGATGACATCGTTATTGCAAAAAATTTTGAATTCCTTTTTTTGTGTCTGGCATTTTTTAATTAAATGTGTCTAATGAAAAGGCTGTCAGCAATGAGATGGTCCATCATGTGAATATTTGGGCAAGCTAACATATTTTTGATCGCTCAATTTTTCTGATTCAATATGATAGTTGTTGGGTTTTGATATTATGAGAAGAGAATCCAGCGTAGATGAAAAATGGGAATTTAATCTTTTCTAGGCATTAGAGGAACCTAAAGAATAAGCTTGAATGTACCTCTTTTGTTTTAATGAAATTAGGGTTAGAAAAATGAAACTCCTTTGGATGAAGTTCATGTTTGCAATAGGGAAAACAGTATACAAGGTCTCTGCTTTAATTATGACTATTCCCCTCATACTCATAGCCTATGCTACAAATGGCCTTGGGAAAGATATGTAATTTTTGTGCCTCATGATTTTGGGTAATAACACTTACAAAAATCTGAACATAAAGTGACAATTTGTATGCTATGTGAATTTCTGGAGTGAGAATTTGCAGATTAGAGCTCATGTAAAATGTGATTAAAATTCTAGGAGGATGCTCCCCCTTAAATTTCAGTTCCTTAAATTTAATCTACAAGTTTCTAACCTTAATTTTATTTTTTAGATATTTTCAAATGCTTACTGTTTGCAGTGGTCCTGTAACTTCTGTTTGAATTAATGTCTTCATTCTTATTTGAAGGTTCTGAGGAGGGACATTCCATGGGAAACATACATGACAACAAAACTCATTTCAGGAACGGCCCTTCAGCTGTTGAGGCGTTATGACAACAGATCTGAAAGTTACAGGGCACAGTTGTTGGAAGATGTAAGTATTCATAGCTTCTGCTTTCTCCTCTTGTTATAGACTACTTCAAACACTTTTGTATCCTCCAGTCACTAGACCACTATAAACTGATTGTTTTAAATCCCTAAATATAATTACCATGGAAGATCTGAGTATACTGTTTACCACTGAATTCACTTTGGCAGGATGGCCCAGCCTATGTCCATGTTTTTGTTAGCATTTTGCGTGATATATTCAAGGAAGAGACAGTGGAATATGTTCTCTCTTTAATTGATGAAATGTTTACAGGTAGTAGAAGAGTTTTTCCATTTTGATTGTGCATTCATAATAGACAATTAACTTCTCTTTATTTGTAAATGCAGCAAATCCAAAAAGAGCCCGATTATTTCATGACAAGTCTCTAGCAAATGAAGATACCTACGAGCCTTTCTTAAGTTAAGTATTTATGCAAAAAAAATTAAGTTGTAGTTTTTGCATTTAAAGTCATTGTTTTCAATTAAGGTGATAGTGCAGTACTTAACTGTAAAATGTTCTTTTTAATGGATGTGATTTCCATATATTATTGCTTTCTAAATGTAAAATAATTATTCCCCCCTTTCATCTTTACATGGCCTTTAACATTTTCCCTTTTGTTTGTGAACTAAATGGTTACTTAGTTCTAAATTCATTTTACTGGCTTTAGTTCTGAAAATTGTAATATTTTTTTTACCTTTTGTTTTTCTGAAAATTGTAATAGTTTTTTTACCTTTTGTTTTACTGGCACTTGTGCTGTTTAGTGGTTAGAGTTTGAATCTGATATTTGTATTCCAAATAACTATGCTTTTTAATTTACATTTCACATATAAAAGGGTGGAAAACTTTATCATGTCCATAAAATATATTGACAGCTGAAGTTTCAATTTACAATTTTTCTGTTCTGGTAATTTATCCTAGTTTTAGAGTTTACATCTATTTTGGTCCATAGGTATGTGCGTTAGGCTGTTGACTTTTCTCTTGACAATAAGAGGAATGTTTAGATAGATGATAATATGTAGCTAAAATGTCATTCAGTTTTCAATTGATATGACTCGATGACAATATGCTTATCATTGCCAATTTTGCTTTTGCATATGCTTTGTAGTCCCTCTATACCTCTATTATATCCATTGACTGTTTTATCTTATTAAGATTGGAAGGGTAGAAGTATCTTTATTTGAATTATGAATGTCTGCTGTTGATTATGGTAAATTTTTTTTCGATTAAATCTGACACCAATGCTAATAATTTCTTTCTCTTTCAGATTGCTCTGGAGGGGAAACTGGTTCATTCAGGAAAAGAGCTGTAAGATACTTGCCTTGGTAGTAAGGTATGGAATGACGTGAACCATTAACAGTGAAGTACAGACTTGGAAGAAGTCAACCAAATGACACTATTCAATTATTCATACTTTATTCATACTTTTAACTAATCTGCTTTCTTCATCTTCATTAAATTTTCTATCTGTTAAATTATAGTGCTAGGCCAAAAAGTCAGGATGGAATCGTTGCTAACGGAGAAGCCTCAAATTCAAAGAAACCATTCACCACCATTGATGATGTGTTAAAAGGATTAGTGGAATGGCTTTGTGCACAGGTAAACAGCTTTAGCTTATTAAATTCTCTCAACATACAGCTGCATTTCTTACTGCTGAAAAAATCTGAGTACAAGCTAGTTTCTGATTAGTCTCTCTTTTATTTTTTGACATGCTTTTGTCATTCTTCCTACTCTATTAAAAGGTTGACTGTCTTGGCTTGCTTGACATTGTTCTCTAATGATTTTCTTGTGATGATGGCTTTTCCAATTTCAAACAATTTAGATTGTATTTTATTCTCATCCAGTTCTCTTGACCCCAATATCTTATAGCTCAAGAGGCCTTCCCATCCTAGTCGTGGTATTCCAGTTGCTGTCAACTGCTTGGCAGCGTTATTGAAGGAACCTGTTGTCAGATCTTCCTTTGTTCAAGCAGAAGGGTTGAAGTTGCTGATTCCCTTAATTTCTCCAGCATCCACCCAGCAATCTATCCAGGTATCTTCTTTCACATTTCAGGCAGCTAAATTCTAGACTGGAGCTTCTTATCCACTTTTGAGAAGCACATGGCATTTCATTTACATAATTCTGATATTGACAGAAATTCTTTATTACAGCTTCTTTATGAAACATGTCTCTGTGTTTGGCTCTTATCTTATTATGAACCTGCAATTGAGTACTTGGCAACCTCTAGAACACTTCCAAGACTGGTCGATGTTGTCAAAAGTTCCACAAAAGAGAAGGTCAGATACCATTTCTTGTCACACTGAATTCATTGTCAATTCATCTAGGTGCCACTTGGTACCAAATATATTTGTACAGTGAAAGGTATAGCTGAGCAGGCTGATATTCTTTTCTTGCTTTCCTATGTTGACCTGTCATGATTCTGTTCTAAAAATTTATTAGTCATTACTGACAAAACTGCAAGCTTCTGTTGCAGCAAATTCCATCAATTTCTTTGTATTTATTTGTTCGTACAGGTATCTCATTTGCTTGTCTGATTCTATTTATTTCGGCATGTCAATTCTCCAGGTTGTCAGGGTTGTTGTTTTGACCTTCAAGAACTTGTTGTCTAAAGGAACATTCGGTGCTCAGATGGTAGACCTTGGACTGCCACAAATTGTTCAGAATTTGAAAGCACAGGCATGGAGTGATGAGGCAAGAGAATTTTGGATACACTAGTAGTGCATAACAGCTTGTATTTTTAATTAAGTGAATGAATAGAGTTAAAAATTACCATTATATGCTACATGAGTAGTATTGCATCTGGGCGTATCTGTCCTATCTCCCGCTATATCTCTCATTCTATATGATATACTTTATGTTAGACTATACCCTGGTAGCACTATTTTACTTGGTGTATTTCTGGCAGGAAATTTCAACCACTAAAGAGGTCTAGGAGTATTTCACCTTCATTACATGCTTATTATCTGAACTTTATTAAATCCTCATGTCATCTCTTTTGCTGGAGATGAGCATCAATGCATGCTAATATAATAAAATGATTATGAATCTCGTTATGTGCTTAGTTGCCTGCACTTAACCATGTTTCTGATATACAATTCCTTGCATTTGGAAAATAGGCTCCTAATCTGATATCTTATTTGTTTGGTGTTGGATATGACAGGACCTGTTGGAAGCTCTCAATCAACTTGAGGATGGGCTGAAGGATAATATTAAGAAATTGAGTTCCTTTGACAAATATAAGCAGGAAGTTCTTCTTGGTCATCTTGATTGGTCTCCCATGCATAAAGATCCTCTATTCTGGCGTGACAATATTGCAAGCTTTGAAGAGAATGATTTCCAGGCATGTTTTCTCTTGTTCTTGTTTGGTTTTCTCTTGTTTCTACATTATACTTCTTGTGCATACTTTATCACCAAGGATTCAGTAAAAAGGGAACAATCCCATGCAGACCGCCCAATTTGTTTCAACGTATCATCTTACATACAAACACCTGCAAACTTTCACCAAGCTGCCATAAATTTCTAGGAATGTAGAACCCCTAAATTCACCCATCAAATAGGAGAGCATGGACAAATTCACCACTTAAAAAAAAGTAGAGACAAATTGCCCTCCAAATTATCGATCAAGACAAATCACTCATTATTTAATGTGTGACATCATTACATGTCAAAAATCTGTTTGCCACCTAAATATTTTTTAACAGAAAGTTAACAGTTGATGACATCACACCTTAAATAATGGGTGATTTGTTGATTGATAATTTTGAGGGGCAATTTGTCCTTGCATTTTTTTGAGGGATGGATCTATCCCTACCCTCCCATTTGAAGGGTGGATTTGGGGGTTTTGCTTTTCTAGGAATTTCAGTGTCTGCTGTTCTTTGCTTTTAACTGGGTGTCATATTTGTGTTAGAGAGCTACAGCAAAGATGATACAGTAAATTTCTGAATTTGAATGGTTATTATATAACTTCCCAGCCACACTGTTTTGTATTATTCCACCCATTGCATGAAGCGCTAGCTTTGTGACACAGCCTTCACAATTTACATTGTATCTTATTGAAATTTTACAAGCTAACACCTCTCATCTCTGACAACAATCATAACCGGCCTCTGATTCTAGAAGCTGAACTACATTCTTATAAAATAATATTGTGGTATTAGCTGCACATTTGAATTCTTGATTTTCTAGCGGAAGATTTTTGATCCATTGCAAAATATACACCACACATTAGGTAAAGGCTTTGAATTTCAAATTATTGGGGTTCTGGGTTGTGATATATCTTTGTCTGCTCCCACAGATACTAAGGGTCCTCATTACAATTTTGGACACATCCAATGATCCAAGAGCTCTTGCTGTAGCCTGCTTTGATCTCTCACAGTTTATTCAGCATCATCCAGCTGGGAGGATAATAGCGACAGACCTCAAGGGCAAGGAACGGGTAATGAAGCTGATGAGTCATGAGAATTCTGAGGTTACCAAGAATGCTTTACTCTGCATTCAGAGGCTTTTCTTAGGTGCCAAGTATGCAAGCTTTTTGCAGGTATAGTTTGGCTTCATTGAAAGTAATGCAATAAGAGTATGTTATAATCCGGCTCTTACATGTTTGGTTGACCATTCGAGTAAATTGTGAGTTGGGGCTGTTTTTTTTTTTTTTTTGGTGAGACATTGCATGTGAAAAAGACCATGGATGAATTAATTCATTTATCAAACTTTGTTGTGTTCATTTTGTAGATTGAGTTGGTATAGAATAAGCGCTTGTATTATTTACCTTCTTTTGTTGTGAACACTTTTTCCATTAATAATATGATTAATAATCAGTTTCCTATATAAACAGAAACTTTGGTTTGAATGCCTTGTATATATTTTTATTTTATTTTATAAGACACTAATTAATCTATAGATATTTTGATTCAACATATTTCATAATATATTTATTAAAAAATTATTTTTTATTCGAAATTAAATATAGATAAATCTAAAATTTCATTTATGCAAATCAATGTAGAAATTCATTGAATTTATTATATTTATATTATATGTTAATAATTAATCCAAAACAAATGTCAAAAAAAGTACTAAATTAAGTATGTGCTAATTATTTTCTTATTTTATGGCATCCCCATTTCATATGGTAGAATTGTTGCCACCAAGGATTTAGTTGTATTTCACTATAGGTATTAACTGCTTTGCAAGATGCAGTTCAATCTTTGGTGTTGACAAAAATCCTCCCACTTTTGCCTATTATAAAGAAGAAAAAAAAAAAAGGAAAACAAAAGGAATGTGAAGATACTTCTAAGTATCACTTGGTACCAATTTTGCATTGTTGGTGTTAGTTATCCCTATGAAAAACACAAAAAATGAAAACGTGAACGCTTGAACCCTTCTTTTTTTCTTGAA